TGTTTCCCAAACCCTCGATACCCGCCCTCTTCGTCTTCGATCGAACCCCTTTTGGGGGGTATACCTTTCTTCCCTGCTGGCCGGGCCCCGGCAAGCGGCGGGGCGGCCGCGGACCGTCGGCCTGGCCAGCGGCAGCGCTGATCGGCGGGGCGGCCGCGGACCGTCGACCCGACCCCAAGAGGGACGGACAGGGGACCGATCACGACGACGACGACGACGACGACGACGACGACGACGACGTCGAAGACGACGGCGACGACGACGACGACGGCGACGAGCGAAAGCGAGAGCGAGAGAGAACGACAGCAGGGCCACGGAGGGTACGAAGTAGGCCACGAAGGACGACAGCGGGGACACGAAGGGAATGCGTATGGGGCCACGAAGAGCGCGAACGAGCGGGGGCCACGAAGTGCAGATAATGCGGGGCCACAGAAGGCAACTATGGGGCCACTGAGGGTAGCAACTGGGCCACGTAGGACAGTGAGGGGGACACAAGTGGCGACAGCGGGGCCACGAAGGGCATGCACATGGGGCCACAACGGGCGCGACTCCTGGGTGCCTGGGTGTCGGGAGCGCGACGCTTGGGCAAATTGCAAGAAATTCCAACGCAAGGCCATTCTTCATTAAGTTGCGAGCAAGTCTCCAGCGAGAGCGCGATTCCTGAATAAAATGCAAGGAAGTCTCGGGCGGGAGCGGGGGACCTGGCTAAATTGTAAGGAAGTCTCAGGCGAGAGCCGTTGTTGTTGTAACCCGGGGGCCAGGGGCCCAGTTTGAGCAGGAAGACTTTCCCTGTCAAAAAACAGGGTGCGAGCGTCGAGGGGCACACTTTGATGCACCCGTGGGGGGGGATCAACAATAATCCCACCAGCCCTTTGGGCGTGAGTGGTTTAGCGAGCTTTCTCTGTTCTCAACCCCCCAACCCCCTTCTTCCCCTTCGGGGAAGGGTTTACCCCTCCCCCTACCCCCTCCCCCTGGGTCTGGAGAGGGCGGGCCGCGGGTCGTTGGAGGGGTCTTTTGCGACTCCTGGGAGGGCTAAAAAACGACACCCCTCACGAGGATTCTGCCCCCAACGGGGGGACGCAGATAAGTCCCTCTCCTCTTCTGTGAAGCCAAAATCATTGATTTTACTACGGTTTCGGCCCCATTTTGGCCTTCTGAGGGGGCAGCGCTCCTCTTCCTTGTTCTCAAAATCATTCATGTTACGAAGGTTTGGGGCTCATTTTGTCCTTCTCAGGGGGTAGCTCTCCTTTGCGCTTCTGCGGAGGTCGCAAGAGGCCCCAAGATGGCCCCAAGAGGCCCCCAGGAGGCTCCCAAGAGGCCTCCACGAGGCCCCCCAGAGGCCCCCAAGCGGCCCCAAGAGGCCCCCAAGAGGCCCCCAAGAGGCCCCCAAGAGGCCCCACGAGGCCCCAAGAGGCCCCCAAGAGGCCCCCAAGAGGCCCCCAAGAGGCCCACGACGCCCCAAGAGGCCCCCAAGAGGCCCCCAAGAGGCCCCCAAGAGGCCCCACGAGGCTCCAAGAGGCCCCCAAGAGGCCCCCAAGAGGCCCCACGAGGAGCCCGAACGACTCACATCAGGACGAGGGGCCCGAACGACTCACACCACGAAGAGCCCGAACGACTCACACCACAAGGAGGGGCCCGAACGACTCACACCAGGACGAGGCGCCCGAACGACTCACACCACGAGGAGCCCGAACGACTCACACCACGACGCGGGCCCCGAACGACTCACACCACGAGGAGCCCGAACGAGTCACACCAGGAGGAGGGGCCCGAACGACTCACACCAGGATGAGGGGCCCGAACAACTCACACCACGAGAAGCCCGAACGACTCACACCAGGACGAAGAGCCCGAACGACTCACACCACGAAGAGCCCGAACGACTCACACCAGGAAGAAGGGCCCGAACGACTCAAACCAGGACGAGAAACCCCAAACGATTCAAACCACGAGGAGCGCTTTCTCTCCCTCCTCCTTCGCCTCGTCCTTCTCCCGCTCCCCCCACAAGGAGGATGTACAAGGAGGCGGGAGGAAGGAGGAACAGAGGAGATATGCGGGGCCCAGCGGACACACGCCTGAAAAACACGACTGCCGGCATGCTTCGCGAGAGTTGCTGCTGTGAGATGGGCTGGTGGGGATACGCGAAGCGTAAAGAATTATTCTTCAGAAATGAGAATTCCACCACAACAACAACAACAACAACAACAACAATCATTTTACCCGAACGCTCAGTGTTCTCCCCAGTGCCAGGGTTTTCTTGCGACACCAGCCAATACCCCCACTTCGTGGGGGGGCCGTTCAAGCTCTACCAAATATCCAAACGACTCTTCGAGACCACCCACACCCAGCTTCCCGCCCTATGACGTTGGGACACTTCACTTCGTGGCGTGCGGACGACCCTGGCTACTACACTGGCGTGGGGTACACACCCACAGAGGTTGATCACATCTGTTACATATGATGTGGTACACGGTACACGTGAGATGGTACGCAGTGCCAAGATAGTTGGTCACATTTTTGGGGCAAATTCGTGGGGATGCGATTACAGAAGTACATGTGTTACACTGATGTTATACAGTCCCAAGGATGACGCATGCATTGCTCATAGACTCATGGCGGCCTCTTGGGGGCTTATTGGACCCTCACGGCGGACTCTTGGGGCCTCTAGAACGCCTCCTGGGGCCATCTTGGGGGTCTCTTGGAGCCACCTTGGAGCCTCTCTGGAACCTCTTGGGGGCCTCTTGGAGTCCTCTTGAAGCCTCTTGGGACCATCTTGGGCGCCTCTTTGGGCCTCATGGACGCCTCTTGGGGCCATCTTGCGCGCCTGTTGGGGCCATCTTGGGTTTTAAAGATTCATCAAGAGACCGCGAATGGATTTCGAGATTTTTCGGATGAGAAAGTAGTGCGTTTTCATATGTTTTCTGAACATCGCATCTTGAAATTATTGAAAACCCATTGTGTTTGGCAGGATTTCGACATGCGCGCGCGGCGGCCGCGCGCATGTGCACTTCGTCTCATTTTTTGCAAGGGATGGTGGCCCTCGCAGGCGCGCAACCGTTGTTGGAGAAGTTCAAAGCACCTGAAGAAGTAGCACGCAAAGACCCTTTTGACAGAAATGTTTAAAAAGTGGTGTGTTTCCTATGAATCCGCAAGAGCGCGCGGAAGGACATTTTGACAATTTTTCTTAAAAAACCATTGGGTTTTTGATGTTTTTATGTTAAAATCGTTACGAAACCTAAGGTTTTGGAAGGATTTCGTCTTGCGAGCGCGAATGTCCACTTTACCTTATTTTTTGCAAGGGATTCTTGAAATTTGATCAACTAAGAACAAGAATTTTCATTTTCTATTGTTTTTTGCAAGGGAAAACGAGCGTCAACAAAAAACCGGATCCGGGGGTAATCCACTTTTCTGAAGCTTTCGCAGAAAAATGATGAAAATGTAGCTGCGGCCTAGGTTTTGGGCGGGGGGCGTGCACCAGGGGGTCCAACAATAATAATTCTTTAGAAGTAATAGTGTTCAACAACAACAATACCGACGACGACGACGACGACGACGACGACGCACGACACACGACGCACGACGCACGACACACGACGCACGCCGCACGACGCACGACGCACCACGCACGACGCACGACGCACGACGCACGACGCACGACGCCGACGACGATAACGACGATAACGACGATAACGACGATAACGACGCCGACGACGACAACGACGACGATGACGACGATGACGACGACGACGACGACGACGACGACGAAGACGAAGACGACGTTGACGACGAGAAGAGTAGAGTCGGCATAGAGAAGAGTACATACAATAGTATAATAAAGTAGGGTCGAAAAAAACATCGAGTAGAGTAAGGTGGGATACGGTAGGGTAGGGTAGATTAGGGTAGAGTAGAGTAAAGAGGTGTGGATCATATTAGAGTAGAGTCGAATAGAGAAGAGTCGAAACCAATCGCCCTGGCCCCTAGCCAGCACACCAACCAGCCCAACAAGCCCAACCACCCAGCCAACAAACCAGCCAAGCAGCCCAACCAGCCCAACCCACCACCACACCAAGCCGCCTACCCCCGCCGCTCGCCCTCCGTCACCAACAAAGGGGGGGAAGGGGGAAGTGATTCTTACCAGCGAACATGGCTGTGAACCGCCGTTTGGGGACCAGGCTGGCCGCCAGGAGAGGCCAAATCGCACCATACCGTGGACCAGCCTCCGGGGCGAGCGCCCCAAAGACGGTCCGAGGGGGAGCCGACTCGCACCATACCGCAGGGAACTGGCCCCCCTCGGCGCAGTGCTCGGGAGCCAGCGCCGACGCGGGGCGCGCCCAGCCGCGCGCGGAAGGCCGGGCGGCCGGGCGGCCTTGCCACCAGAGAGCGGCCACCAGCGCCCGCCCGCGCCGCCCCGCCGCCGGCCCCGCCGCGCCCGCCGCGCACGCCCCCTGCGGCCCCGAGCGGCCGGAGCCCGCGCCTCGGAGCTCCCCGGGCGCGCCTCGGAGCGGCGCGCCGTCCCCCGCGCCGTGGCCCCGGGAGGGGCGCCGGGCGCGGCGGCTGCCGCGCGGCTCGGGCAGCGGCGCGCGGTGCCGCGCGCGCGCCCGCGCTCCGCCGAGGGCTCTCCGAGGCGAGGGGCCGCGGGGAGGCGCTGCCGCTGCGGCCGCCGCTGCGGCCGGGTCCCCGCCTCCCACCGCCACCCGCGGCGCACGGCGGTGGAGGTCCAAGCGAGGGCCGGGGGCGAAAGATGAGGAAGAGGGAGACGGAGCAGCAAGAGGCTCTGGCGGGAGGGTGGAGGCGAGCGGGAGGGGAGGAAGAGGAGGCAGAGGCGGAGGAGGAGAAGGGGGAGGAAGCGGAGGAGGAGAGGAAGAGGTGGAAGAGGAGGACAAGGATGAGAAGCTGGACAAGGAGGAAGAGGAGGGAAGCGGGAACGGGGAAGAGGAGTGCGGAAGAGCAGCCCGGAGAAGGTGGAGTGAAAAAAGGAGTACGGGAGGAGCAGTCTGGAGATGAGGGGCGAGGAGGAGGCGGAATTGAGAAGGGGTTCTTAGAAAGGCCTCATCCCCTGCGCCTGACAGCGTCGCAGGGATGCACTAGCGCCAGCACTCGCTCGAATCTCCAGGGCCAGACGGGCACGCGTGACGATTGCACAGTCAACCTGGCTGCAAGCCACGACACCCACGGCCTCCTCCTCGTCGAATGCATCCACCTCTTCCGTTCTCCTTCTCCCCATCATCACCACCGACACCACCACCATCACCACCTGATCCTCATCCTCACACTAGTCATTACCATCATGATCATCGTCATCGTCATCTTCAGCGGCAGCACCCTCATCCTCATCCTCATCAGACTGTCACGACTGCCCCATCTGGCCCTGCGGTGGCGAGGGCGCTTCTCGATCCAGCGTCGCTAACGCAGAGGGGACTGCATCTGTACAGAGTAGATACAGCACGAACGGCAAGTCGATATAAACTGTTGTGACGGAGGAAGGGGGCAGCGAGAGGGGGAGCGAGAGGAGGGAAGAGAGGAAGGAGAAACTGGAGGAGGCGCAGGATGAGGAGGAAAGGGAAGCAGAAGGGGAGGAGGGGAGGGAGGGGTGGAGGAGGAGGGGAAGGCGGACCCTGGGGAGGATAAGGGGAGGCGGGGATGCAAAGCAGGGGGGGGCCAGCGGACGCAGGAGCGGCAGCGGAAGGCAGGGAGAGAAAGAAAGGGGGGCGAGCGCGGAGCAGCACCAGCAGGGGTCGGGGAGGTGAGGAGGACGAGGAGTGGAGCGAGGAGACGGAGAGAGAGATAGAGAGAGAGGGAGGAGCCTGCGCCCCACACACGCGAACAGCCCCGCCCGAGCGAATGGTGGCTCCCCACCCATTCGGGAAACTCGGCTGGACACCAGAAGCGCGGTCGACGGGCGAGGAGGGCGAAAAGAAGGAAGAGCACCCACCAAGAGTGAGAGGGGGAGAACTGGGCAGAAGCTGGATGAGAGGCGAGGAGCGGGGGGAAGGGATGAAAGAGAGAGAGAGGCAGGCAAGACAGCAACAGCGACAGAGGCAAAGACACAGACAGAGACAGAGACACAGACACCAACACAGACAGTGAGGAGATGGAGGGAAAAAAGGAGCAGTGGCAGCAGGGAGGAGAAGCCGAAGACGAAGGACACAGGGACAAAGAGGTCAAGAAGAAGAGAGGAATAATCATAATAATACTAGCAATAAATAAAGAAGGGGAGGGACGATGAGGGTGGAAGCAGCAGCAGCAGCCGCAGGCACATCCGTCCTCCCTCCTCCTCCTCCTCCTCCTCCTCCTCTTCCTCCTCCTCCTGCTCCTCCTCCTCCTCCTCCTCATCCTCGTCATGTTCACCATCCTCCTCCTCCTCCTCCCTCCCTCCTCCTCCTCCTCCTCCTCCTCGTCATTTTCACCATCCTCCTCTCCTCCTCCTCCTCCTCCTCCTCTCCTCCTCCTCTCCTCCCTCTCTCTCCTCCTCCTCCTCTACTCCTCCCTTCCCTCTCCTCCTCTCTCCTCCTCCCTCCTCCTCCTCCTCTTCCTCCTCCTCCTCTTCCTCCTCCTCCTCCTCCTCCTCCATCTTACCCGCCTTACCCGCCTTCTCCTTCTCCTTCTCCTCCTCCTCCCCTTCCTCCCCCATTCCTTTCCGTATAACTAGCTTCTCCCTGTCGCACTCCGAGGCTGGTCGAATGGGCGCGCCGGGCGTTTCGCCTCAGACTGCCCCGAGGAGAGGTGCAAGGACGATCGCGAATCCCAAGGCAGGTTTCGCTGCAGCCGTGCTGAGCTTCGGTTTGAGCAACGTTGGCGCTACGGCGACATACACGGGACAATTCCATAAACTCCTGCGACGCAGACACATTCCTCCCCCCCCCCCGATTTTCCGTCCTCCCCTGAGATCTGGCGGAACAACAAGATACACAACATCGTGAGAAATCACGACCAAGGCCCCAGACCCCATCTTCGTGCACCACCTGTCGAGCCAGATCGATCTGCGAGGGTCCCAGGCCCGAAGCCGGGCGAACACGCCCAGCTAGAAGAGAATATCCTGGCGAGGGGCCCAACCACATGCAGGTGTGCGTACCGCAAGACAGGTGGAAACTAAAGGAAAGGAAAGGGCCAGCAGAAGGACGAAGCCCGTTACGGATGATTTGCGCGTTTGTCGGCGCGGCCCTCGGGGGCAGCAGGCGGCGGGGCCTTCGGTGGAGCTCCCGACGGGGCCACGAAACGTATGAGGAGTGTGCCGAAATAGGCGTGGTCACGCATTCAAGTCCTGCCTCTGGGGAATCCGGTTGACATCCCTATTGGGACACGAAATGTCTGAGGGGTGCGCCAACATGGGAGTGGTCACGCATGCGATTCCTGCCACCGGAGCCTTCGGCGGAACTCCATATGGGGCCACGATGCGTATGAGGAGCGTGCCGAAACGAGCGCAATCACGCATGCGAATCGTGCCAGTGGGGTCTCCGGAGGACCCGTATGGGGCCACGAAACGTGTGAGGGGTGCGCCGAAATCGGCGCGGTCACGCATGCGATTCCAGCAAATGGGGCCTTCGGTGGAACCCCCCATGGGGCCACGAAGCGTGTGAGAGGTGCGCCGAGATTGTGTGGACCAGGCATGCGGACTGGGGCCTCGGGTGGAGCTCCCATGCGGGTCTACGAAACGTGCGATGGGTGCGCCGAAATGGTCCGGAGGTGGCAAGTGGACGCAGCCACTAAGGGCCTGTGGCGGAGCTCCCCACAGACATTCAGGTAAAATTGGCACGAACTGCCTGACTCAGAGCGTTACTGAATCTACGCATGACCAGGTTTTGAACCTCAAAGTCGACGACGACAGCGGTGGCGATAGCGACAGACGACGAGGGAGGCGGCGGCGATGAGGGCGACGACGATGACGACGGCGACGCTGGCGACGGCGACGGCGACGGCGACGGCAGCGGCGGCGAAGGCGACGACGACGACGACGAGGCCGTCGACGGCGAAGCCCAGTATTCAGAACGCGCGGCGGGCAAAACGTCGGAACCCAGATGATCAGCAAAGCAAAAAACTAGAGGGAACGCCTCCGTAAAATGCTAGAAGGCGCCTTCCCCCCGTGTCGCGCCTGCCCAGTGCCCCTGCGCAAGTCGTCCTCGGAGACCTTCGCTACCCTCAGTCAGTAGTATACACGGGTGCAGCGGTCCGACGGGATCCGTTCCAAACACGTGATCCGTTCACCTCTCGGACCCGTCCAAAAATCCTCGAAGTCGCGAAAGAATCCGTCCGAAAAGCATCGGCTCCGCAGAGGATCCGCAGCGGATCCGTACCCGGATCCGCACAGGGATCCGTACCCGGATCCTCGAGGTCGCGAGAGGATCCGTAGCGGATCCGACGCCCGAGGCGAGGTCGACACTCCCGAACTGGGGTCCCTGCGCTCGTTCCTAGGCGCCCGATGCTGCGCCCATCGCCCGCGACCTGCCACCAAACCCCCTTTCCCCAGTGGACCGACAGACTGGCACCTTCGTGCGATTTGAAACAAAGGGCCGAATTCTCAAATCGTACCAACCTACCTGTATGGGACCGCGAAACGCGTGAGGGGTGCGCCGGCATGGTGTGGACAAGGTATGCGGACGCAGCCACTGTGACATTCGGTGGAGCTCCCTATGGGGCCCCCCGAAAAATGAGGGGTGCGCCAACATGGTGTGCACCAGGTATGCGGACGCAGCCACTGGGGCCTCAGGTGGAGCTCGCCATGGGGCGACGAAACGTGCGAGGGGTGCGCCGACATGGTGTGGACCAGGTATGCGGACGCAGCCACTGGGGCGTTCGGTGAAGCTTCGCTTGAGGCCACGAAACGTGTGACTGGAGCGCCGGCATGGTGTGGACCAGGTATGCGGACTCAGCCACTGGAACCTCAGGTGGAGCTCCCTATGGGGCCACGAAACGTGTCAATGAGGTGTGTGCCGACATGGACACGTGGAGGGCAGGAGCAGGGAGGAGGAGGGAGGAGGAAGGAAGGAAGGAAGGAAGGAAGGAAGGAAGAAAGGAAGGAACGAAGGTGGAAAGGAAGGACGCGGGGACCCTCTCTTCAAACCGAAGACCCAACACCACAGGATGGCTGGGAATTGAAACGCCAGGATCTCAGGGTCCCTCCCGCTCCCGGTTCCCCCTCCTCACTGTACCTCGCCGTCCCCAGCTCCCTCCCCCAGGCCCCCCCCCCTCGCCTTCCCGCTCCCCCCTCCTTCCTCCCCCGCTCGAACCCTTCCCTCGTCTTCCTCCTCCTCCTCCTCCTCCTCCTCCTCCTCCTCCTCCTCGTCCTCCTCCTCCTCCTCCTCCTCCTCCGCCTCCCCCTCCTCCGTTTCCTCCTCCTCCTCCTCCTCCTCCTCCTCCTCCCCTGCCTCCTCCTCCTCATCCTCCTCCTCCTCCTCCCTCCTCCTCCTCCTCCTCCTTCTCCTCCTTTTCCTTCTCTTCCCCCTCAACCTCCCACTCCCCCTCCCCGTCCTCCTCCTCCTCCTCCACATCCTCCCCCTCATATTTGTAGTAGTAGTAGTGTTACGCATTGTATTATTATTGGTCATCGTCGCAGTACATATATGGTATCATTACTGTTACTAAGATTAGCATCATGATCACGAGTAAAAAGAATTGTAATACGATTCGTAGTACTGGTAGTAGTAAGAATCAACAAGTTTACAATATCATTAGTGGTGTAATCAATGGTATGTCGATTCGCAATATAATGTTAACATTAGTCGTAGTATTACTAGCAGTGGTCATATGTAAAACGATTATTCATCATATGAACAAATATTAGCAGTAGTAGTAGCAGTAGTAGTAGTAGTAGGAGTAGAAGTAGTAGTCATGCGAATTGCAGTAACAAAACTGTTTTTGGTACTGTTCTCATTACTAGTCTCATTACCATTAGTCTGCTCGTTCTTAATATCACCAATATTAGTCTGCTCATTATTCGTAATATGTGGCACGTGGTATTGTTAATGAAAACGACTCGTATTATTCGCATGGTTCGTATGAATACCAATTACGATAATTACGCTGATCTATAGTACTGCGATGATTAATATGATTCGTATTTCGTCGTCTTATGCATATTATTTGCTCTGTAGTCGTATTTATATTAGTCCTAGTATTCCTTATTCTTTTACGATCAAGACTAGTATTATTTAGATGCTTCATATTGCTACTTCTTCGTCATAACAGCAGTATTATTAATCGCAAGAACATGACTGTTGTTATTGTTATCGGGAGTGTAAGGATTGCTATTACTCGTCTTAGTAGCATGAGTATTAGTCTTGAGCTTATTGATACTGCTTTGATAACGATGATTGTTGCCAGCGTAAGTTGCACGATGTTTAGTTCGTAGTAGTATTGTCAGCATTAGCATGTTTAGTAAAAAATGCTGGTAATAGTACTACGAAAAATACGAATACCCTTGTTAGCGTTCGCATTCGTATATTATCCATATTCATACTAGTATGTTCTGGATCCGTCTTATCATTATTGCGTCTATTATTGTTAGCGGCCTCCTTCTCATTACCATGTTACTCTCTTATTGAAAATGAAGCTCTTAGCCGTGACCTTGTTCGTAAGCACAAGTACAAATCTTGATGCTAGTAATACAATTATTACGTCTCCTCCTCCTCCTCTTCCTCCTCCTCCTGCTCCTCTTTCTCCTCGTCCTCCTCCTCCTC